TTGGTGAGTGGAACTGGTAAAACCAACTCCTTACCTTGAAAACCCTATTAGGGTCCTTATAAGACAGTTCTGACTTGACTGCACATAGCACGGTAAATCCTCCAGCCCCTAAAAAGGCTTTTAAAAGAGGGGCATCAGGTGACTATGGGAATACCCCAGATTTGGATGGGGGCGCCTTCCATGAGTGGGAGTCCTTCCATTTGGTGAGGGTGGTCCATGCATTCAACCTGATTGGGGGGGGGATCTTCCTCGCAACCTCAGTGCTATAACCATAAAATGGAGCGAATATGCCAGCCTGGCATTCAGAGGTTAAACCAAATGAAGGCTCTAAAAACATGAGAGGGGCTACAGTGAATGATTGCTGTGAGGCCTGGATCAGGCCCAGGAAGAAGACCCTCTACAAGTCCTTTCATGAGCTCCTGGCCATCAGATAGAGTTCTTCTGCCTTCCTCAATGAGGCCCCTGCCTGTGTTTTGGGGGTGTAGCGTCGTCGAGTCACCTTCAGCCTGTGACTGGCTCTAGTCCACCCCACTAGGCCTTTCCCAGTGGCAAAGAGGGAGGGGGAAAAAGACTCAAAGTCCTGCCCTTTTTTCGGGCATGAGCGGGACTTGCCAGCCTCGCCCTGCAAGAAAAGAGCAGCCTCGTCCCGCTGCAACCTCGCTTTTGGCTCTTGCTTGACTTGCCATGCCTGCCGGCGAGATCGACGGGCCCTGGTCTCCTCCTGGCCTTCTCGCTTCCCACTCCCACCCCCCTCCCCCTCTCGCCCTCCCTCCCTCCCTCCTGGGCACCTGCCAGGCCTTTCACACCTGAAACAGGATGTGAACGGTTTTGCCCCTCCTTCCCTTCCCTTCCCTTCGCCCGTGCCCTCCTCTCCCCTTGCCTCTTCCCCCTGGGCTGGACGGACCGCGCCGTCCACCTGCCCGCCTGCTCCGCCGCCCTTCCCTCTCCCCTCTGCCAGCCCTGGGGCAGCGAAGTGAGAGAAAGGCAGGTGGGTGGAAAGCGACAGCTGGTGTTGTTCCAGGGAAGGTTTAAGGAGCATCTCCTGCCTTCCCTCTCGCCCGCCTCTCCCCCCCCCCTCCCACCGGCTCTTTGTGGAGTGAGTTGCCCGGGCTGCGGGCTCTAATCAGCCCCATTAGCAATGGCTCTGGTGTTAAAAGGAACCGGGGGGGGGGCTCCTGATGCCCCCTCCCCCACCCGCGTGCCCGGCTTGCCTCCCTGCCCTGCTGTGTCAATATTTGCCCTGAGTAAATGCAGAGCCCATGACAGGTGTGCAGGGGAGAAGACGGCACTCTCTCGTGGTGACAACCCAGCCCTCCGGCTCCTCGTTGTCGTCGTCGTCGTCGTCCCCGCAGCCCCCAACGCCCTGGCCCCCCTCGCCGCCTGCCTGCCAAGCCAGAGCTATTTTTATCGGCCCTATAAAAGTCACCGCAGGGCCAGCATCATCCTCATTTTCCACTCGCTCGGCTGGGAAGGTGAGTGGCTCACCTGGAGCTGCCAACGTGTCACAGACGGGAGCCAGGTGAGACGTTCCCAGGCTGGCTGGCTCAGCAAAGTTTTTCGGGAGGGGGGAAGAGAGGAGGAGTTCAACAGAGGCTGTCCCAGTAGGGGCTTAGAGGAGGCCGGACACCCCAAATGTGGAGGGCTTCTGTGATGACCTGGGACCATCCCTCAAGAGGTGCAGGGGAGAGGAGGAGATTGACAAGGGCACCTGCTGGCCCGGCCAGGTGAACAGGACGCTTCTTTCTTTCTTTCTTTCTTTCTTTCTTTCTTTCTTTCTTTCTTTCTTTCTTTCTCTCTTTCTTTCTTTCTTTCTTTCTTTCTTTCTTTCTTTCTTTCAAGAAGAAAATCTAAGCATATGCAATTTCTCTCTCATCCGCAACAAGGAAGAAGCCAAATTTTCCAGCCTTCTCCGAGTTGTCCTCCTCCTCCTCCTGATCTCTAGCAGCCTGGGGGTGCACAAAGTGAGAGTCACGTTTCATGGGATGTGAGCGCTGGGACTCAAGGTTCCATGTTACAGGCAGCATTCTTCCCTCTTCTGGCCTCTTCACAGGTTGAAAGTTAAAGTTATAGAGTCTCTGTACGGAATCGGAGAGCTTTGCATTTTGCTTGTCAGCTAGGGCCAAGACTTCTTTCTCCCTTTCTCTTATTACTTATTACTTCCCCTGTTTTATCCCTGCACCACGCTTTTCTTCCATAATTCCATTACATTCCTTCTTTTCCCATTTTTCTATTCATGTTTTTCCCCCTCCACAGATGCCTAGAGGAGGATGCTCCAACTGGGGCCTTGGGAGGCCACATGGGGCACGCTCAGTGGCAGAAGGAGCCGGCAAGGCGTGGGCTGCCCTCTTGTGCATCGTTTCCACTGGCCTGTCCCTGGACAACTGCTGTGCTTGCCTGGCGTCGAGCCCCACGCACAAGACCTGACGTGAATGTTTTGTTCGTTCGGCTCGCGTTAGGCAGGTCCAGCCTGTCTGCAAAGATGTAGCCGCACACATGTGCAGTGGGAAGGGGGCTGCACCGATGGCATTCACACCCACCTGCACCAGGCTTTGTATGCCCATCCACAGCACTTAGCAGCTGCGGCTTTCCACTTATGCAAGACATAGCCTCTCCATCTAGCTTGCCATGAATAGCCCAGTGACTCTGTAAGGCCTTTTACCAAGTCCACCTTAGGGTGCAGTTGCAATATTTTGAGGTTAGTTATTGTTCATTGTTACCTTTGCTTCACATCACATAGTGATCATGCCTGGGAAGTTTTTTTGTTTTGTTTTGTTTTCATTTTTTGGAGGTTACAAAGACTCTCAGGGATTACTTTTTGAAAGCCACTCCAGCTTGCATTTGCATGCCTTCCTCTATTTTAACCGATTTGAAAGCCACTCCAGCTTGCAAAGGGCATTTGCATGCCTTCCTCTATTTTAACCGACTTACAATTTTACTAGGCTACATCCTGTAATGTCTTTGAGTTCCCCCCCAAAGGCAAGCATTACAGGGCTCACTGAAACAGAAGTTGAAACTAAACCATTTGCCCCCAAATCCAGAGGGATTCTATGGCAGTGTTTAGGATTCCAGCCTGTCTTCTCAAGATATTTCCTTTCCAGTGCTGGTTCCTTTGCTCAGTCCCATCCCGGGTTACTCGCCTTTTGATTTCATTGTTTCTAGCTGACTACTTCAGCTAATTGACCCATAACATGGAAAGTGTGAAAATAAACTGATTCAGAGTTCTTTGGTTTGTGGAAGAAAAGTAGAAGAGGGGTGATGTGTATTGATGATGGGACAGCAGAGGAACTGAGAGATATTTCTGCCCTCCCCCCTTCATCAAGTTGGATTTCCTGGTAGAAGATCCTAGAGGGAAAAAGAGTGCTTAAGAGAGTCAAAGAAAGGTCACCAGACCCTTATGTATGAATATAGTATTAGATGAGGGATGAAGCTGGGGGCTGCTCAGAGGAAAACTGGTCCCTTCAGCCCTAGAATCTCTTGCAACAGGAGTCTAGAATCTTTTGGAAGGCCTCCATAAAGGAGACTGTAAGGCTTCCCACCTCAGATCTGTTTACATGGGATTCTAGGAAGTTATTAGAGAGAGGCTGTTGAGGGAAGATGAAGCTTAGTCCCTGGTGATATGATCTTCCGCATTAGTCCTCAGCTGCCCTTCCTCTGGCAGAAACAGGAGAAGAGATTTGCATCTGGAAAAGAAAGGGCCAGCAGAACCAGCTCTGTTTTTGAATAAAAATTACCTGGCTACCAGGTGTCTATTTTAGGCATAGCCATGGTGTGGCAATAGAATTAATTTGCTTACCACAATAGGCAAGAGATGAAAATCCAAATGGGTGACAATTCACCCCAGGGATGTGCTCTCTACAGGAAAAGGGCTACTGTTGCTGAGAGTGGGGGAAGGAAAAAGGCTGATGTGAATCTTAGGTGGGTGTTTCCCTAATTGTTTTTTTAAATGAGGCTCATCTGGATCAATCACATCCATGAGGTGGGCTTTGGTTATCCAAATCTTCTGAACAGCAGAATAATAGTAGCGGTACCTACAGTACTTACTTTCATCAAATTCAGTGAAACTTGCTGTAGTTTAAGGCTTCAGTCCTATGGAGGCTTAGAAGTCCCTCTGAATTTCAATTGACAAGATGCATTAGGATCAGGTTGCCTATGAATTGCCTTCCAGATAGATGCTCTTCCTGAGCTCTAGCTACTGTGAATTTTTAAATAGTAGCACAATATTGGTTGGGTTGTATGAACACTCCAACTTGTTATGTCAACAGCTAACAAGTTAGTTTTAAGCATATAGTTTATGTCAAGTCAGCTGATTTCAGGCATCTTTGACCTCTGAACAAATTGGATTTTCTCTTACAAAAAGTATCCTAGAAACCAATCAGATGGTTTGCTGTATTAACATATTGTCACATATCTATATTAATGTTCACAAAATATTCAATTTTCTCCAAAGCCCTAATTTTCAAAGTCTATAAGAGATAAACATGTTTCAAATACACCAAGAAGACTATGTGTGCAGATCCCCACAGATGTACGCAAATGCACATACAGAACAGCAGTGGGAATGGTCTTTTTCAGAACTTCTAAACCCAGTTGCCAGTTTTTTTTCTGACAAAGCTCATCTGTTTTTAAATAAGTCCAACAAAGTGAAAGTTTTTAAGAGGAGGGACGAGGGAGCTGCCAAAGCAAAAGCCAGCTTCCAACTGTCTTTAGATCTAGCTGTGTCAGTAAGAGAAAACTGCCCACATTATTTTGCTTCCTGTGTTAGAGGAGCACAACTTGGCTGCAATCCCAGTGCAACAACTAGGGGTTTCAACTTTTCAGCTGCAGCCCATAGGTGTGCTTTTAAGACAGCTTGCTCTGCAGATAGGGACAGGTGATAATGCTTATCTTCTGTGGTATATCTGAAGTGCAAGCATTCATCATGACAGTCCCCTGACATGTGCCCTCAAATAGAGTTCAAAAATGTCTTTCCAAAAACAAAATCAATCCTTATCAACAAACAGGTTCCACCACTTCGCACCTCTGCCGGCAGCAGGTCTTTTGCAAAGTGAAAGGGCCTTAACTGCCCACTCAAAGTCAAGATATCACCAATACTTTGCATAATAGGGAAAGGTTACAGAACCATCCCCTGCCCCAGCTATTGTGAGGATGGCAACTAAACTCAGAGGAAAGCTTGAGAGGGGTTTTCTGGCAACATCTTTCTCCCTACTAATCAAAAAGCCCTGTTTTGCTGAATCCTCCATGCCCTGGTTCCACTACACCACAAACCTTCCTCTGTTGATTTCTGCAGGAGACGCTTCTGTGAAGGTCAACTGAGCTGGTCACATGATCTTTTCCCCCTGGTAACTGACAGCCCCCATGTGAACCTCATGTTGTCTCCCCATAAAGCTTTTGTACTTCAGAGATTCAATATGTATGAATTGTAAAATCAATAATGTATTATAAAAGCATGCATAATGATTTTGCTCTATTGATTTGCCACAGTTCAGATCAACAGGCCATTTACCCTCCAAGCTCTCCATTAACTTATGAATACTGGACAGTAAGGTTGCCTGGTTTGTACCTGGAAATAGTTTTATTATATTATTTTTAAATACGTAGAGCCATGAAGAGAAGATACAATTATTAGATATTCCATTTGTAATTTTTTCAGGAATCCTCTTGCACATCTTCTTTCCATTGCCTGCTGTGTTGTGGCAAAGAACAGGAACCCTATCTTATAATAATAAGCAGTTTTTTGAGGGGGTGGGCAAGTTGGCCACTTCAAAAGCCCAGGTGCTGCAGCTCATTTTCTAATATAGGACTGTGTTTCTCATTTTTTTTGGCCCTCCAGATGTTTAAAATTCCCAGAAGTCCCAACCACCATGGGTAATGGTTGGAGTTTAGTGCTATAGTGCCTCCAGTGTAGTAATTGCACAATGGGAGTGTCATAGTCTGCAGAATGTCTTATTTCTTCAATTTTAAAAGGAATCTACCACTATAATGGCTGCACTCAGTTTAGCGCTATGGCATTTCACCAGTCTGGTTTGATGTCTTTTCCTTTGGCCTCTAAGAAACTCACCCCTAAGTAAGAGATGGCCATCAACTTACCATTCAAGAAAAAATGTGTGGAAAATAAAGAAAACACAGGCAATTTATTTTTCAAAAGTATAGGACTAGAATATTAACAGTTTCTTGAAAAGGTGTGGATACAATAGTGCTGACAAAATGGGGGAGATGAGAAGAAATGAAGGCAAAGGAGGAATATGTGTCAGAGGAAGGGGGCTAGGAGGGAAAGAGAAGCACATATTGATGTGGAAATGGCAGCAAGCAATGAGTGGGATGCAGGTTAGCTATAGAAACAAAGAAAAATGCAATACGAGGCACTTCTGGAAGACAATGCAGTGGCTTAAATATTTATTTATCAGTTCATTTAAATTTTTTTTACCCTACCTTTCTCTTAAGAAAGTGGCTTGCATCATTAAAGCACACTGTTAAAGCTACAAATATTGAATTATTCAAATATTAAATGAATTGCTAACATTATATTAAGAATATTAGGTTAAGCATCACAAAAACAAATTTTGAAGCAACAAAATGCAAGCCTTCTCATTTTAGGACCTCTCCAAGACAGTCTGTTACTAAGGAAAATCCTGCCTGAAGAGAAAGGTCTTTGCCTGCTTGCAGAAGGATAGCAAAGATGGGGGTCAGCCTGGTCTCCTGTGGGAGGGAGTTCCAAAGTCTGGGAGCAACAATAGAGAAGGCCCTCTCCTGGGTACCCATAAAATGTACCTGAGAAGATGGCAGGACCAAGAGAAAACATTCCCCCCCCCAAAAAAAAAAAATCTTAAAGCCTGGGCAGGCTTATAGAGGGAGATGTGGTGCTTGATATAGCTTGGGCCCAGGCCATTTAGGGCTTTATAGATTAAAGCCAGCACTTTGAATTGAGCCCCAGAACAGAAAGGCAGCCAGTGGAGCTTTGCTAAATAGAGACTGTTTTGTGGAAGGGTTAAAATAGGAAATCATAACGAAACACAAGTCCCGCCACTCTGTTAATGTCTCACTGGCCACATTTTTTTCTCTCAAGGCTTGAGCTTCTTGAAAATAAAAGCCACAGGGAGGGGAGGAAGAAGAGGTGGGTGAAAAGGGGATTAAGATGGGGACAGTCCAGCCATCCTGTGTCATTTGGAGTGGAAACTGGAAAAGTCTATGGAAGAAATGAACACAGTGTTAAAAAAGATAATAAGACTACCCAAGCCCAATACTGTACGGAGAGAGCTTCTTATGTGGTCGTGATATTCAACTTGCAGTCCCACCTCCATCCAAAATTCCTTCAATTTCCTTGTTGTGGTGCATCTGCTTATCCCTGGGAGTTAACACTTTCAGGGGAAAGACCTTCTGTGTTAGAAGCTAGGCTATTTACAATTTATCTCTAGTTGTTGCCTGTTGTTTTTTTAAAAAGCCTTCATTATGGCACTCCGAGAAAAATAGAGAGCGATGGAGCCCAGCAGTCCAGTCATTTCTAGATTGTCCTATCAAGCCATTTGAAGTAATGGGTTCAACACTGAAGCCCAGCACAAAAGCCACATGTGTTCTTACACATAGGATAATCTATCCTCTTTCATTTTTCACAGCCTGTCCAGCAACAGATTCTTCTCAGTGGTGGCACCTATTTTTAGAATACTGTAATTTAGGGAGTCTGTAGAACTGTCTCTGTAGCATGTGTGGTTGTTATAAAAATAAAATAAAACTGAAAGCTTTCTTATTCTTGGGAGTTCTGAGTTAAAATGTATCTTTTTATTTGCAGTATTAACTATGGCATCTTTGCAGCTTAATGTGACCATATTTCACATATTTATTTTCTCTTCGTGATTGTAACTACTTTATTATGGTTTAAGCTATCTTTTGGACCACACAAACCAACAAATAAGGCTTCAGTCCTATACACACTTACTTGAAGAGCAAGCCCATTGAACTCAACGAGATGTGCCACTAAATGATCATCAATACACTGTTAAGCTCTCATTTTCTCCCCAAATGTAACCATGTCCATCTTAATACAGTGCCTGTGATAGGACAAAGCATCCTGCTTCACAAATGGGATGTTGCTGTTTTTAGATTAAAAGAACCCATGTTTCTTCTGGCTGAAATGCAACAAGAAGCCTTTTTTTCCTAAATGAAATTGTGGGGGAAGCACCCTCTGTTAAATTTCTATTGTTGTGCAGCAGTTAAAGGCATAGAGCCTTTATTCCTAGAATGGTGGCAATCATATACAGATGTTGGCCCCCCATCTTCTCAAATCAGGAGAGGCAAGGCAGCCATGACCCACAGACACAGATTTTCAGTTTGTCTATGAAAGCTATAGGGCCCTCTTTCTCCTTTGCCTTCTGCCTACAAATTTAGAGGAATGGGTTTTGTTTGTTTGTTTTTCTCTGCCAGTTGTTGTTTGTTGTTTTACTTCCTTCTTTCCTTGCGTATATCCTACTTTCAGTTGAAGGTACAATATACAGTCCTTCCAGCCCCCATGTTTAGGACTACAGGTCAGCAGCCTCCCATGCCCTAAGATTTCAAGGCCAAAAAGTGAAAGCAGGCAGCAGGCCAGTGTGAAGTCCCAGAGGAGACGCCTTGTGATGTCACAGGGAGTAGATCTGCTTCTGAGACAGCTAATGATTGTGGCAAGAGGCGCAAGAGGAAGCCAAGTAAATGGTTAACCAGGTAACATGGCAATCTAGAGCCAGGGGCATGAAATCGCTACCTAACCAGGTAGCAGTGGCAAACAGTTGCTGTTCTTCCCACGTGGCATTACGGACACCCCATATGAGTCACAGGGCATTTTTAAAAAGGTCTTACACTCCCGATGGGGCCTGTGTGGCAAAGAGACTTATGGGGAATGATGATGATGCTCTACTCCCTGCTGTGCTCCGATGAGCCCAAGTGACTGTATACTCATTCTCAGTCTCTTCTGAGGCCCAGCTTTTTTGTGTGCTGATGATGCACAAGTGTAGCCCACATACAAATGATTAACCCTGGTGAGAGCAGGGAATGGGTTGAGGTTTGTGCCCAGGCTTTAAACCCACCTCTCGCACACACAAAATAATACTATCACATCTTCCAGTGGCCCTCTCTTAGTGCCCTGAGACAGCTTTCCTTTCCCCAGAGATCCAGGGGAACTTCACATTTCTCTGAAAAGCGAAGGCAGAGCTGGCAATCTGAACTGGAGCTGGTTACAAGGAAAAGTGAAATTTCTTGTGATGCTACTGGCTACCAGCCCATTTCCAGGCAGAGTCCAAAAGTGCTTGTCATGATCTCTACAGTAAAACCCTACACAACTTGTAGCATAGGAGCATTTTCCCATAGGAGTCTACCCATGCTTTAAGATCTTTAGGGGCCTGAGTGTGGGCTGCCCTCTCGTGCCTCGTTTCCACTGGCCTGTCCCTGGACAACTGCTGTGCTCACCTGGTGTCGAGCCCCACACACAAGACCTGGGGAGGACACAAAGAGAGCCTTCTTGGTAGCTGCTCCCAAGGGGTGGAACTCCCTTCCAAGGGAGGCCAAGCTGGGCCTCCCAGCTGTCCTTCCACTTGGCAAACAAAACCCATTCTCTTCAGACAGGCTTTTAGGAAGCAACCGGCTGCCGAGGAGGGGCTTCCAATGTCAAATATTTGGCCTTTTACCTTTCTTAGTGTGCTTTAAAAATTATTTTAAACCGGTTTTATTCATTTATTTTACCATATCCTATGTTTGTTTTTAGCAATGTAATATATTGCATTTTAACTGTCTTAAATTGTGTTCTTTTAAATATTTTACAAGCTGCCTTTATTGGGAGAAACAATCCTGGCAGGTACTTTGGGCAGAGAGAGTAATTGGACCAATATCAGCCCATGAACTTAATGACCAATTGGGTTTTTAAGCTGTGGTCTCCCTAGCCCGTCTCTCTGATCACTACGATTGACTGTATTGCTACTGATTTTTCCAGATCAGAAAACCAACCAACCAACCTTTGTTCCTCTCGATAATGTCCCCACAGATAAAAAGTCAACCTCTTGCTTCCGTTCTTATCCTTTGCTCATTTTCCTTAGTGTCAAGCCTGCACTTTCCCCCAAAGGCACTCTCCAGTATTTTTCCTATGGTTAGGGGAAGAGGAATAGATGAAGGTAGAAAGTGGTGTCCAAAGAGGTATCAGCGTTATTCTTTTTAAAAGTGTTGACCTGAGTGGAACAAGGAGAATATCATTTGAGACAGCAAATATATATTGGGTTGGTGCTAGCACTTTAACCAGGAACTCTCCAAACACAGAGCTGGCTCTTAACAAACGTCACCAAATGTTT